CTCTTCCAGGCCCCGCCCCGCCCCGGGGCCCCGCCCACACCCACCCATCTTCCCACAGCTGTCCATCCACACCCTGGAGGACCCGCGCGACCCTCGGCACCTGCTGGTGATGAAGGGCGCCCCCGAGCGCGTGCTGGAGCGCTGCAGCTCCATCCTGATCAAGGGCCAGGAGCTGCCGCTGGATGAGCAATGGCGGGAAGCTTTCCAGACTGCCTACCTCAGCCTGGGAGGCCTGGGCGAGCGCGTGCTGGGTGAGACCCGGCCTGGGCGGTGGAGGGGTTAACCCGGTGTGCCTGAGCAGCTTCCACAGATCTTGCCCATTTTCCGCCCAGCCTCAGTTGATCTGCCTGTCCATCGCTGACTGTTCCATTCTCAGTCCTGACCCCGTCTGGCTTCCTACCCCAGTCCCACTGTTGGCCCCACCCTGACGGTCCACATCCATAGGACCCCTCACGTTTTCGCAGCCCTCGCCCTCACTACCACCGTACTGTGTCCTCCTCTTGATCCTTTGCCCTTCCCGAGTCCCTGCCTCAAGACGCTTCCTAGTCTTTGTACTGACTGGCAATCTCTCTCAATTGTCTCAGTCTCTTAAATTTCCCTAGTTCCTGCCTCTACCCTGGGAGGTACAGACCTAGGTCTTTCACTTTACTTGCTTTGTGACCTCCAGCAAGAAATGTGCCCTTTCTAAGTCTCAGTTTCCTCATCTGTAAGATGGGGATGCACTCTCAGGAGGGTTGTGAGGATGGATTTAGTTGATGTGCTGGGCACCTGTAGGCGACTGGTGCAGGGGGCCTGGCTATTTTATTATTCCTGGACTTGCTGGGGTGGGGTTGGCCCAGACTCTTCTCACTTCTGTGTTTTCTGCCCAGGCTTCTGCCAGCTCTACCTGAATGAGAAGGAATACCCACCTGGCTATGCCTTTGACGTGGAGGCCATGAACTTTCCAAGCAGCGGCCTCTGCTTTGCGGGACTCGTATCCATGATTGACCCGCCAAGGGCCACTGTCCCCGATGCTGTGCTCAAGTGCCGCACAGCAGGCATCCGGGTATGACATCAGGAAGGGGACAGCCAGGAACCTGTGACAGAAGCCCAGCCAGAATTGCTTTCACCCAAATAGATTAGTGCACGATACTGAAAAGTTCTAGGGAATGACACGGCAGGTAAAGTTGAACTCAGGAGATCAGTGTCCAATATTAGGACTTTGTCTTTATGTCTCAGCTCTGCTTTTCTCTCTGTTGACTTTCTTCTCAAGCAATCCCTCAATAAGGGACAGCAAAGATGACACTCCACCCCTGGCAGCTTAAACTTACAGCTCCCACCTCTCCCGCCAGGTAGGGTCACATGTCCACCCTTGAACCAGTCACAGTGGCTGGGGTGGGGGAAACACTTTGCCCAGTCTTGGTCAATGACCTCACTTTAACCAGCGGCCTGGGGAACAGAGATGGTCCCCAAATGACAAATCAAAGGTGGAGGAGCCAACGCTAAGTAAGCAATACCCAACTCCTCCTTGTAGTCTTTAAGGCTATGGCCCATTACCTTTCTGAATACATTCCTTAGCCCCGAGTCCCTTGTTTATCCTCTCCTTCCATGCTTTTTTCCCTGGCATTCAACAGTTCAGGCATGTTCTCACCCCAGAGCCTTTGCACTGGCTGTCCCTCTGTCAGGAATGCTTTTCCCCCTGATTTCCATGTGACCAGCTCCCTCCCTCACTTTGTATCTCTGCTCAAATGTCACCTTCTCCATGAGGCTCTCCCTAGGCAAATTTGACTTCTTTCAGTGTGCTTCATTTCTTCCCTCTTCCTAATACGCTGTATGATTCATTTCTCTATTTTCTGTCTCCCCCACTACGATATCAGCTCTACAAGAACATGGAATTTTGTCCGTTTGGTTCCAGCCACACAGCAGGTGGTCACACTTGGTTGAATAAATGGATGAGTGTATAAGCAGTTGTCGACCGGAGAGGACAGGGAAACTGGGCTGATCTGAATGAGTCAAGGGTCCACTGGTCCCCCGCAGGTGATCATGGTAACAGGTGACCATCCCATCACAGCCAAGGCCATCGCAGCCAGTGTGGGCATCATCTCGGAAGGCAGCGAGACCGTGGAGGACATTGCTGCCCGCCTCCGAGTGCCTGTGGACCAGGTCAATCGGAAGTAAGCCCCTTTATCCCTCTCCACGGTCCCCTTGCACCCCAGGCAGACTGAGGCCCCAGTGAGGCCCTTCTGCCCCTCTCAGGGATGCCCGTGCCTGTGTGATCAATGGCATGCAACTGAAAGACATGGACCCTTCAGAGCTGGTGGAGACACTGCGCACCCACCCCGAGATGGTGTTCGCTCGCACCAGTCCCCAGCAGAAGCTGGTGATTGTAGAGAGCTGCCAGCGACTGGTAAGACTGCTGTGCAAGGTGGGCCAGGGGGTCCAGGGCAGCATCTCACTGACCACCCACTACCTGCAGGGTGCAATTGTGGCTGTGACAGGGGACGGTGTGAATGACTCCCCGGCCCTGAAGAAGGCAGACATTGGCGTGGCCATGGGCATCGCTGGCTCAGATGCTGCTAAAAATGCAGCCGACATGATCCTGCTGGATGACAACTTTGCCTCCATTGTGACGGGCGTGGAACAGGGTCTGGACCAGGCCACGGATGGGGCAAGTTGTATGGGTACAGGAGCAAGTGGGCTGTGAGGAACTGAGGTACCTGCCATATATTCCACAGGCCGGCTGATCTTTGACAACCTGAAGAAGTCCATCGCCTATACACTGACCAAGAACATTCCAGAACTGACCCCCTACCTCATTTACATCACTGTCAGCGTGCCCCTGCCCCTCGGGTGCATCACCATCCTCTTCATAGAGCTCTGCACTGACATCGTGAGTCTGCAGCCGCGGCGCCCCCTCCGCACACGGGCATGCTCACACACAGGGTGCCCAGTGACAGGCCCGTGGCAGACATGATAGGCCAAGCCCACTACAGATGTTCTTGGACACAGAGAGACACAGACAAGACAGGAACATATGATAGCCAACCAGAGGCAGGCACACAGGTGGGCATCAGATGGATCAGACAGGCAATTCAGATATGCACAAACAGGTTTACAGACCCAGAGATCTGGCCAGATGGAACTCACAGATGCATATCCCTCGACAGACAGGGAAAACAGATACCCTGAAGCACCAAGGCAGACAGACAGAAAGCAGCCACAGATTCAGCCCTGAATGCAGCCTGCTGCCTGGTGCTATTGACAGATGTTTATTCAGTGACACGCAGTGCTCACTCTGGCCAGGTGCACACTAAGGTAGCTAATGTCCTAGTGGCTGCCCTGTACCTGGGTTTTGTTGTCATTGTCCCCATTTTACTGATGAGCGCATTGAGGCAGAGATGAGCTAAATGGGTTGCTTCAGGTCACACAGCTAGTGAGTGGCACAGCTGGGATTCGAGACCAGGCAGTTAGGTGCCCCAGCACCTGTGCCCTTGATTAGTGTACGCTGTCACCACTTTGTTGTCAGACAGATGGGAGAGAGGGAACATGGCACCGGAAGACTGAAGAGACACAGAGATAGAGTGTAACAGGCACAGAGACAGGGACACAGAGAGACACAGTCACAGAGATACAGACAGGGACAAAAGGGACAGAGAGAGAGGAAGGAGAGAGATGCAGAGTAGAGTGCCAAAGAGACCGGAGGACAAAATGACAGAGGCAGAGTGAAGGTAAAGGGGAGGGGGTGGTAGGAGGGAGAGGCA